GAGTAGTAGTTTGTTCTCAGTGGACTCAAACGCATTCACAACCAAATCAGATTTAATACGACACTGAAAAAACAATGGAATATGTAGGTATACTTATAAAATACTGTACATTTTCAAATAATAAAATTGGAGAATTTACGCTGCAGTTTTGAATATTAAATAATTATTTGAAAACAGATTCATACGATGTATTTTACTTTAACTAACTAAATATGAGAAATTTTGTATTTTTAAATCCCTGGTTAGTATGTTCAGAAGATCCATAAAGAATTTAAATTTATTATTTTTAGACCCACCACTCATCCGGAAATGATCGGCAGTCAGGAAACACTTCTATCATTCAGATTCAACTGCATTTTCGAATTTGATCCCACCTGACTACCGATCATTTCCGAGCATCATCTGAAAAATGGCCTGTATACTACTCTGATTCACTTGTACTAACCTACTTTGCCTAACATGATCAGACTGTTTCTTGATCTTGAATAACAAACAAGAAGCCTTTTGTTTCATCATACAAACATTTTATTAGCCAAATCAATGACAATTTTTTGTTAATTTGATTTTCGTCTAAGAAGTCTTTGAAAAATATTCCTTCTAATTGTTTTATTTAGCCCAATTATAATTTATGCTAGTGTGTACAGCGTGTGCATTTTTTCGATATTTATTTGTTTATTTCCATTCACTATCGCCCAGTGAAATATGCCAAAATTCAAGACTTAAAAAAATATTTTTGAACCGAATGTTTCTAAAATCTTGCCCTGCTACCTTAACCATGCTATACTTTTAGAATCAGCACGCCCGATCTATATCGCAGAATTTTTTGTGAATTTTTAGATAACTTTTTCAAAAGTCTATTTTCCCATACTCCTCCGTTATGAAAATTTGAGCCCCTTTTCGACCGCCTTCGAAAATTACCTACAGAATCTTTCTTGTAAATTTCGACTTGCAGAAAATATATTCGGCCTCATTATTTATAAAATTTATACTCCTAGTATTTTTCAAAAATCGCCAAACAAATTGCCGCAATTATTAGAATCGTTTTAAAAATCGAATTTCAAACCTAATACTTGTAAAATCTTGCTCCGGTAGGTACTACAAAAACGCTAGATTGTTAAAGTTAGCACGTCAAAATCTATATCCCACAATTTTTTGTGGATTTTTAGACAACTTTTTCGAAAGCTCAATTTTTCGCTGCTTTGAAAATTTTGACGTTTGTTGGACCACTTTAAAAAATTACCCAAAGAGATTTTCGTATAGACTGAACTTAAGAAATTACTTTCGAACCTTCCTTGAATCATTCAAAGAAATTTGGAAATTTTTAGGATTTCAAACTAAATAATTCTAAAATCTTGTTCCGGGTCCCTAAACATTCCCAATTAATATGTCGGGATCTACATCCCAGAATTGTTTGTGGTTGTCAGGCATCTTTTTAAAAGCTCTTTTTTTTATTACTCCCTTCTTACGAAAAATTTTATTTTCAAAAATTGAAATTTTTATTTTGTGGTCAAATATTTATTTCAGAAACCAATGGCCCTATCGATGGATTATTATTGTCCCCGATACACTATTCATTTCTAGACAAACACGATTTCTTTCATAATTTTTAGTCTTTCATTCTTTCTAAGTTGCTCCAAAATTCTTCACAAAAAGGGTACGATGGCCCCTGAAGTTTATATGTTTGCGTGCAATCTTGGTCCGGGATCATCGATACCCTGTCTTATTATTTAGCTCGTCGAAGTGTATCTCCCAGAATTTTTTGTTGAATTTTAGGACAGTCTTACGAAAACTCAGTTTTAGGAAGCCCGCCTGTAGGCAATTTATTACTCTTTCCCGAGTAGTGTCAAAAGTTTCGGTCTCTTCATTTCTTCAAAAATTCTTATGATTTTTTTTAATTACCAAAATACAATATTACAGATTTTGAAATGTCTTAAAAATTCAAGTTTTTAACCAAAATATTTCGAAAACCAAGACGGAAGTTGCAGTTGTAAACATAAAAGATTTTTTTATAATTTAATTGTGAATACAGTACACAACGTGTAAAGCCCGAATTACAGGATACGAAAAAAATATATGAGCACTATTAATTACAAAATAACTATACGAGGAAAAACCTCCTTTGAATCCTCCCCAGAAAATAAATGTTATTAACTGCATTCCAAATAAAATGCACCACCCCGAAAGAACAGGGTAGTATTTTTTTTTAATCGCAGTGTATATAGGAATCTATACAAGGGAAATATATTACGCACGAAATCTGCAATAAAGAAATACAATGTTATGAACGTTTAAGTATCACCAAACTCGCCACCTCTTTGATTTACGACGAAGAACCAAACTTGATAATTGAACTGTTTTATAAAAAATTGTACTAAAAACACGTGAGTGTCATCAATGGTACAATTGATGTTAAGAAGGTTTTCCTTTCTTGAAAAACATTTTAAAACTTTATATAGACATTTTTACAAATGCAAAAGATAATCATATATGTCGATTAAACTGCATATTTTTTAATCAGCTGCACATATAATATATATTGAGCAATAACGGACTTAAGACAGAGCTTTGGGAAACACCAGTTTCCTGTTTGAACAACTCTGACTCGGCTCCATTTAATTTAGCAATTACTGATATATGTGTTCTCTAACTAAATAAGAACCTAACAATGAAATTAATAAATTTTTTGTTTAAAGAATACAAGGTAATCCCGCACGTAGCTGTGTCGTATTTCAAAATTAACATTTTCGGATAGTAGTCCGAAATAATTAGTCGAAAATTATTTCAACAGAACTTCTTATATAATTTAGAACCCATCTACTATGTACAATTTTCAGAGGACGTCATCACACAGTTGGTGGGGATGATTAGACGAAATTTGGTTAGCGCTTTACCATCTACATGATATTCTTAATACACATATAAAAATTTACAACGATCGGTCCGTGTCGGAGATTATCTGTCTAACAAAAATTGGGACGAACGCCGGACAGACAGACAAACAAACGGAAATCAGAGACCTGTTTTTTCGTACTCCAGGTTATGACCCATCGAGAAAATGTGAAAGTAACCGTCGCCGGATCAGGCGCGGATACAGGATTTCGTTTAGGGGGGGGGGGGGGGGGGGGGGCAATCGTTACACGTATAGTGTACAGTAGAACCTCGATAATCCGAAGTAATTTGCAAAAAGGTGTGTTCGGATTAACGATTTGTTCGGATCAGCGATTTTCCCAAAAATCTGAAAGGGAATTGAATAACAACTTCATACACAGTTGAAAACAAACTTCAAGAAATAAACTTTAATTTTATTAAACAAAATTAAAGAATTCTTAAGCAACAATGGATAATAGATATACATTCTAAAAAAATATTACTCCGTGACCATAAACACGCTATCCTTTTGGAATCAACACGCCGAGATGTATACCCTGAATTTTTTCAGAATTTTTTGATAAATTTTTCAAAAATGAAATTTCCCATGGTGTATTACCTCCATTATGCAAATTTGGACCCATTCTCGAAGATTTTCGAAATTTAAGTAAATACATTTTGTTGTAGATTTTGGGCCTCAGAAATCACTTCTAGCTTCATTTCTTTGATAACTTAAACCATTTTTCCAGATTCGTCCAGTTGAAATATCGCAATTTTTAAAAAATTCGAAAAATTCGAATTTCACACCGAATTTTACGAAAATATTGTCAGCACGTCAGGATATACATATATCCCTGAATCTTTTCAGAATTTTTAGGAAACTTTTTCAAAAATGAAATTTTCCTCATGCAAAGTTCCACCCATTTTCGACGATTTTCGAAATTTAACAAAATTTTTTTTTTCTTGTAGATTTCGGGCCTAATTTCTTCGATAACTTCAACCGTTTTTACAGAATTAGTTAATTAATTCAGTGCATTGAAATATCGCAATTTTTAAAAATTTCAAAATATTCCATACAACATATGCAGAAAGACCTTGCCTCATTTTTGCAAGTAGGTGCGTGTTTCCAAGATCAGTTCGGATTGCAGAGTTTTTGTTCGGATTAAAGAAGCATCAACTTCAAATAGCTTCTGTTCGATTTACTAGATGTTCGGATAATCGTGAATTCGGATTATAGAGGTTGTACTGTATTTACAAAATGAAATGCGATTTCAAAATTTTGAAATTGGTCAAAATAAATTGCACCCATTGGATCCGCGCCTGCGCCGGATAGACTCAAATTACAATACTTCATTAACTTACGCTCGGGAAGTAAAAAGAACCAAATCGTAGAAATAGTGTTAAAAGAAATTAGCAAAGGGTTCAACTTTTAGATTAATCTGTGGGTCAATTCTTGGATTATTGTTAAAAGGTTGAGGTGAAATCTGTCCCACATGAGAATTATTGTCCAGAAATTCTAAAACAACTGTTTCATCTAGTAACGACGTTCAAAATTTCATGGACACCAAAACTTAGATGACTATTTTGTTTAATATTTTTGATACACTATTTTTGGAACATCATGTAGGTATGTTTTCTTATAAAACAACGCTCCTTACTTAACGTTTAGTGAACAAATTTTGTTATATACAGCTAAAATTTCAGAGCAATCTGTTCGGTAGTTTTGGATAGTTTGCATCAGAAAAACATGAAATTAGACGTCCGTTGAACTAACTCTATTGGAAGAGAAATCAATTTGTTTTTTTTTTGCACACCGCCACCTCCTCACATATCATTTATGGCCCTGCAATTACCCTTCGCCGCCCCCGCAGCCGGGCTCCTGTCCCGTAGCCCGACCGTCCTATGCACCGGCTGCATCCCCCGAGCGAGACCGTCCCCGGCGACAAGGACGCAAAAGCCGGTGCTTCGGTAACAGGTGTCGGTCCCGATCGATCCCACGCTTGGGCGGCGCATGCGCCGCCGTCGCCACCCCGCTGCCAACGTCACGACGCCAGCACTCGCAACCAGGGAGTGGTGAGTGGCTACAACGAGCGAACCCCCAGTGCAACGTCCGCCGCGAAGACCCAGTGACAGTGCAGTGCGCGTGGGTCCCGATCGGCCCCCCGATGAGTCCTGCAGGTTGTTTACCTGTTGGCTAGGCCGGCGTCGCGACGCTGCTACTTGTTGCGCTATACCTATCCTCCGCCATCACTCAACCACCTGCCGGTGCACAAGAGATCGATAACGATGCCGCGCTGCTACATGGTGAAGAAGCAGAGCAACAAGTACAAGGACTGGGCGCCGGAGGGACCGCAAGGGCCGCCCGACAGCCCCACGGAAGGGTGCGTGGCGCCTCCGTACTACACGCCGCTGACGAACAGCACGGGTGAGTAGGGGGCGGCGAGGTGCGGATGGGCCTGGGGGCCGGATGGTCGATGGGGAGCTGACGGGGCTCCCACATGGTAAGCTCCACTGACACGGTCAGGAACGCCGGGTTCCTGGAGGTCCCGATGTATGCTTTCCAGGCGGGCGAGATCCGGGGGCGGGGAGAGGGAGGGGAGCATGCGAACGTAGTAAACAAGGGAGCTCTACATTCAATGGGGAATGTGGAGTTGCACGGCGAAGCGCAGAGGGTTCAAAATATTGGGAAACGATACGATACGAATATGTGTACACTTGATATGGAAAAGCGACAGTCCATATGTCAACAAAAGAGTTACAATACATGGAAAAGATACAATATGTAAATATGTTTTCGAAAGATCATAGTATCTGTAAATAATAACGAAGGAATATGTAATCACACATTTTTTATGTTTTGATTTACTATACTCAAGTTGTGACTGATAACAAAATGAAATGAGACTCTAACGCTAGTGCATAAATATGTCTAAACTAAGTCAACTTTCTTTCTGGAAAGAAATCTACGCTACTCTGATTTAACCTGTTCCGAAATAAATCTGTTTCATAATGCCATAATGTAGCAAGATTTGTTGAGTACTAAGATATTATTTGTACACCAGCTAAAAACGTTATGCAGACGTTTTTGCAAACGCAAAGAATCGTCATACCTACCAATTAAACTGTAGACAGAATATAATGCATATCAATATCATTAACCTTAGCAATATTGTTTATAAACATATTGGGCAATAATGGACTTAACACGGAACCTTGAACAACAACATTCAATTTAGCAAATGGAATATAAGAATGAAATTAATAAATTTGAAATCCGGTTGTTTCGAATACCCAAGGTGGCAATAATCTGGACACAATTGGGAACGCAACCCAGAATATATTTCCAAAGAATTCTGATTATTATTATTCATCAAAAACATTAAACATACTTAGCAATATCAAACACTGTCAAAATCTTGACAAAAACAACACTTCTGAAGTTTACAGCAAACTTTATTTAATTTATTTAATAACTACTCAAAATGCTGAACACCGTTTTTTTTACATGCTTCAATCACATCCCAAAAATACCTTTTCACCCGAATTAAATCATCTGGTTACGTAGATTCTATGGCTGGCGATAATTTATTTTCCAAATATTTCCGATCTACATGTTAGGGAAGGGAACATCAAGAATAATCCGACACCCTGCTATGATAATGCGCGGTAGCACCGTCCTGTTGAAACCATAAATGTTGTCGTATTTCCAAATTAGAGTAGTAGATAATGGTAAATTAAATATGAAGCAAATTTACAAAATATAAGTATGTTTTCAAAAAAAATGATAATATCTATATCGGTAAACAACAACGGATGAAAATGGAATCGCATATGTTTTAATGATTTTGTTTACTATTACAACGTTTTTGTATTATTAAATGTGTGACCTATACTTAAAGAAAACTTTTATTCCTACAAATATTTGAGATTCTGACATGAATCCATGCAAAAATGTCTATTTTTTTCTCTAAGCTAACGCAACTTCTGGTAGGGTTGCATTACTAGACGTCTGGAAGGAGACCTAAGCTACTCTGATTTGACCTGACCTGAAATAAAATATTACACTACTGACAAAAATCTGGATTTGTTTTATTGTACTTTAGGGGAGAGCGAAGTTCTGTCGAAATAACCTTCCACAAATTTTTTTGGTCTTCAATTTTGCAATGTCCGTATGAAAACACATTTCTCCACCCACGTAAAGCTGTTGCCTTAACTTTAACTAGATCATTGAATGATTCCTTCTTCTTGGAAATGGTTTTCTGTATTCCAGGTACAGCTAATTACTTAATTTACTTTAATGTTACCATATTGACAACCAAATTGATCAAATCTCCTTGAAAGCTACTTCTTTTGATGACTGTAGAATTAAACACAAATGCGTTTCTTTTCTTATGGAATTTAATGTAATATCCTCCCTTATGTATTTATTATTTTAAAATCCATGACTTGACTCCTAGAGTACGAAAAAGGTGGTTTCCCTTTACCGTATCTCGATCTGTTTGTCTGTCTGTAAATCCTCTGTGTCAATTTTTGTTACTCGACCGATTGTTGTTAAATTTTGTTTGTACATACATTAGGAATCTGATATAGATGGTAAACAACAATATTCAGAAAACTTTACTCCATTCTAATTGCTACCTGCTAATCGTGACATTCTTTTGGTGTACAACCATAAACAGTCGAAGTTAAGCATGCGGGGTATCATTTAAGACACTAGTCCTTATTTCATAGAGGTGATCACAAAACAAAAATTGCAAAATCAAATTTTATAATATTTCAAAGAATCAAGATTTGTTAGATTGTACCTCAAGGGCAAGTTCCCAAGGGAATTTCTTCCAAAATAACCTTCGGCCAATTTTTACTTCCCGAGCGTAAGCTAAGAAAGTTTAGTAACGGAGTAACTTGCCATTTTCAGGTTTTCTCAATGTTCGTGAACCCTAGAATATGGAAAAAGTGGTCTCCCGTGGTGTCGATTTTAACTAAGTGGATACTTTCCGAAACTACCAGACCGATTGTTGTCAAATGTTACATGCATATTAAGAATATCGAGTGGATGGTAAAACCCTAACCAAAAAAATGACGTCATCTCCAAAATTTACAATACTCTCCACTTGTTTATCAGTCCATGTTGAGTGTATAGATTTTTGGAAAAAAAATCAAAGTTGTATAAAAAATTTCCAAATTTAACTTTGGGACTCCAAAACCAATAGCTTTCAAACGTTTTAAGAATGGAAATCGTTAATCAAAATTTATTCGTTTATATCCTCCCGAAAACTTAATGACATCATGTCAAAATTTGTTTCGAATAAATCCTATCTAATATAAGCAGAATATTAGGAATTTATACTTGTAGTTTACCAATGCGTCCATATTTTTCATAATTACTTACACAGGGTGTTTCAAAAAAATTAATGAATGGGGAAATTTATTTTTTGGATAGAATCAAAAACGTTTTATCCCATTCTCCCGAAAATTTGACTATTCAGTACTATTATTATTATTAATATTACTATCTACTCAAATCGATATGTCCTTCCTAAAATGCGAATGACGTCGACACAAAATTTTGTTATGGGAAAATTCACTAGAAACATACACACAGCATACTTCTTTACTTGTACTTTACCAGTGCATTGATCTTAACTTATAGGGGTTATCATAAAAAATAAAATTTAATTTTATCATTTTTCGAAGAATTTATATTTGTTCGCCTGTACTTCAGCGGCGAAGGAAATTCTGTCTAAAAAGATTTAGACAAATTTGTTTTATATGTATTGTATGTATTAGAAACATCTCCGTCAATAATTTTCGGATTAGCTCTTTATCAATAATTTTGGCAACGTCGTTCCATCTAGCTTTATAATACTGGGTGATTGTTTTAAATTTCTGCTCTAGTTGGCCATGACTCCTACGACAGCAGTGAAATTGAAACAGCTGACGTAAACGTCATGGCCAACTAGAGCAGAAATTAAAAAATCTCCCGATATTAAAAATTTTAAAAATGGAATGTTATGCTAAATTGTTTCCAGTTTTCCGTTTCGTGTTTCATAACAACTTCTTGGATCTTCAAATCAAAAAAATCTTGTGTTTATATTTTTTTCAAATCTTTATAAATGTTCAAACTCAAAAGCATATTGTTACGTTGCTCGGTGATTTAAAATCGGCGTGGGTTAAACTCAACAATTTATTTCTTAGTAGCTTGGATTTACACGACTAATTACAGAGCGATTATGTACAAAATAATTCCGGTACTACATTCACTGGGTTTTCTCGACACTCGTTGAACTCGACTTGTTAACTGAATTCAGCCCTCGTTGTCTGGGTTACACTAACTGCTCCCGACGGTGGTTCCTATTTAAACAGTACGCGGTTCTTCTCGAAATGCCTACGTCACCGCTTCCAGACTTTTCTCCGGGCGTTGTCACCGACAATGAGTCATCGGCGACGTACATAACTAGAACCCATAGGCGTCGGACTGGGGCGGCGGATGGGTTTATTTCGTAACAGTATAGATCAAGTCCCAGTACTGAGTTGTTCGTGTAATTTTCTGAAAAAAAATCTGAGAGTCGGACATTTATTTAGTAATATGTATTACAATTAACTTTCTAGCTCAGTTTTGATCATTCAGTTTTTCTAAATATTGAATTGTGCTAACAGTGGAACACAAAATGTGTCGTCTTTTGTAGAAAACATGTTTTTCATTTAATTCATTCATTTAACTCTGTCTCTTCCATGTTCTTATATGCATTCTTATATTACAGACGACCTATAGAGTTTACGTTCTTAACAGTATTATTTAGAAGGATGAAAAAATGGTCGGGAAGCTACTTGTTTATCAATTTTTCTATTCACGAAGCAAATTTTAGAGTTATTGTACTATTTAGCAAAATATTGGCAATTTTAAATATTCAGCCATATATTATTTTCATGCAAGAAAAAGTCTAAAATACAGAAATTTATCCAACATGTTCAAGGTTTTCTGATTTAATTATTTCTAAATAATTCTACCGTTAATTAACAAGAATGGTAGAGGCTAATAAGGTTAAAAGTTCAGTGAACATGAGCATAATTGAATACAAAATGGAAACCAGTAAAACGACTACAAAGTTGGTAAACGTTAAAGTAATAATTCATTTTGTATAACTAAAATAAAAGGAGAAATTTCATGAGACGGTTTAACGTTTGCCAAAGTTTAATATTTCAGTATTAAAAACATAATTTGCAAATTTTATTAATAATTGTTTCAACTCTGTTTACTTTAATTTTTTTATTTGATTAAGAAACTAACAATAATGTATACCGAAACATTAATATTTAATACTACTGCACTAATAATAATAACACTTAATCGGATATCACAGATTATAACCATCTCATATTTCTGAACATGCGGTAATAAAAATACCGATTTTTTAAGCATCGTAA